TTGTTTTTTGGTTCGCATCATTCACTGAGTTTGAATCTTCATTTGCAGGAACACGAACCCGATAATCGTCGCCCGCAGCATCTGAAACCCGGCCTTTATCTCGTCGGAACACCGATCGGAAATCTTGAAGACATCACATTCAGGGCTCTTCGAGTGTTAAACTCGGCCGATGTTATACTATCGGAAGACACAAGGCACTCTGGGAAATTACTTCATCACTACAATATCAAAACACCCCTGGTAAGCCTCTTCCTTTTCCTTCTACTCTATTTGCAAACCTAGGTCAATATTCGTCACTGTTTGGCATAATTGCAATTTACATTTTCTAATACTCGTTTCTAGATCTTCAGATGAGTTATCACAAATTCAATGAATCACAAAGGGAACAGCTTGTGCTCAGGAGGTTGAAACAAGGTGAGATTGTGGCACTTATAAGTGACGCTGGAACGCCAGGTATAAGTGATCCTGGTATGGAGTTGGTAAGTGTGCTGCTGTTACTGTGCTTGTTTATTCTTATCATCACTTCTATTCTATTTTGTTTCATAACTTTGTTCATGGTGATAACAATGCAGGCCAAATTATGTGTTAGTGAAAATGTTCCGGTTGTTCCAATCCCAGGTCCTTGTGCTTTGGTATCTGCTCTTTCTGCCTCGGGTTTATCCACAGATGAATTTACATTTGGTAATTAACTGATTGAACTGCATGGTTTGGGTAGATAATATAAATAAAATTTTGCATTTATGGACCTAAAGTGGTTACTTATTACATAAGTGATTACTTATTACATATATTTCTCCAGTTGGGTTTCTTCCTAAACATTCGGGATCAAGAAGAAAAAGGCTCATGGCTTCGGCGGAGCAAACAGCAACACAAATATTTTACGTTCCTCCTCACAAGCTTTCTCAGTTTCTCGAAGAGGGTTCATCAATTTTTGGTGATACAAGGTACTGCTAGGGACTTTGCCTTACCTGTAACTTTGTTGTTTTATTATATCATTTAACTTATATTGCTTAGTTTGATGAATAGGAGTACTATGCTCTTGTCAATCTTTTCTTTAATCAGTATCCTTCTCAACTTCCACTTTTATATTTTTCAGTTGGACAGTCCATTATTTTTTTTTTGCTTACTTTGTGAAAAACTAATCATTGACACCATGTATCACACATGTTTGTTTGATTTGTCATTCAACCCCAATTGAATTTTATTCTTCTTAATCTTATGTACTAGAACTCGAGAAACATAAGAAAGTTGCATCACTGATACTTATTTTCCTTAGGGAAATTGCATCATGTGCTAGATTGGTTGACTCTTCAATTTGATGATGTTGTAGGAAATGTGTTATTGCTCGAGAAATGACTAAGTTTCATGAAGAGGTAATTTTTGTATTCATCCTTCTGAAGTCAATAATTGGTAGTTTAAAACTTGATTTGATAGCCTTACATTTGTTAATCATCTTATTTCTGTGGTGGTGGCTGTTGATTCTACTAGTACTATTCACTAAACCCGTGAGAATAATAACAAAGAGGTTAGAGGTCTTTAGTGTCTTGACTCCTTATATGCCACACTAATGGAATGAATTAAATCAAGTTTATCATAGAGATGATGTCTTGTTATAGCCTTCTTAACTCTCATGTTCCTATTTTTCTTATGAAAAAATACATTTTGTTTTAGGTCATGCTAAAAATTTAACCACTGCTTAACTATAGTTGAAAGGAAGCTATAGGGTTTCATCTGGATTTGTCTGCCGTGATTGGGAGGTTATGGGGTTGGATTGTGAAATCATTCTCATGTTAATGTAAGGATGGGCTGCTTACAATAGATAATGGATCCTGTCATGATGGGAGCTTTATAGCATCAAATATCCCTTTTATTCCTCAACTATAGTAACTGTACTATGCCTGACTTCAGGATTTAACTTTTTTTCAAGAATTGGAAAGCTGGGGATTTATGTTTTTGGGTTTATAACTTCTCGGGCATACAACTTCGAGACTTTATGTTTTTGGTTAATAGAAGTGATTTTGTTCGCTGGATATCGCCTATGTAGTTTTCAAAGGGGAAAACTATTCCTGACAAGAAAAATAGTTACATGATGGCAAAGAATAAGGCTATGACAAGACATCATTATTATGACAAACTTGATTTAATTGAAGACAAAACACTAATAATGACCTCTTTGTTCTTGTTTTAATATTGTTCCCAAGGATACCAATTGTTCTCATTAATTTTTTTAATGCACATCACTTTTGTAGTTTTGGCGCGGATCACTTGGTGAAGCCAACCATGTATTTTCTACTCGTTTGCCAAAAGGAGAACTTACCATATTGATTGAAGGGCAAGCACATTCTAAAGTTGAACCTCCGTCTGACACCGAGCTTGAGAATGAACTAAGAGAATTAATTGAAAATGGCGAGAGTCTTTCCACGGTAATACTAATGACTTCTCAATAGATTGACATGTTTGGTTTTAGTTCTTCTAGAAATTTGATAAAAAGATCTAATTATGAACATGTTAGTTCATGGTTTGGCCAGTTCAATCCAAAGAAATGGTATGTGGATATCAACTTATAGGATTCAGTGTACTTGTGCAGAAATGATCCTTGCTACCAAATAATGGGCAAATAATCATTTTGAAGTGAATATTTTTGCCTTGTTCTTTCATTTAGTAGATATTACCTGCTCATGTTAGTAAATATGGGATGACCCTGGTCTAAATATGGGATGTTATCTGTTCATTTACTAGTCTAAATTTTACTCTTGTTTTCTTCCCTCAAAATTGAATTTTAATTAGTTGGAAATTTGCTTAAGATTATCTTACGCTTTGTATGGGAGTCAGGAGGGAAAGATATGGGATGACTCTGGAGGGGAGGGGATGAAAGGAAGAGTCCCTCATCTTGTTTGGGAGATTGTTTTGGAGGGGAGGAGAGAAGAATATATATGGGTGACATTTACTTGTTTTGAGAGTATTATAGGGGGGGAATGAGTTGGAAGTTTATTCAAAATCTCCAAATTTCTCCAAAGTCTCTTCCAAATGCATTTTTTGAGTTCCCATGTGTATAAGATTTTAGTCCAATGAAGAAAAATAAATCCTCAAGCAAGTGGGAGACTACTCCCCCCTTCCCTTTCCTCCTCTCTTTGTCCCTGCCCCTCCAAGCATGCAAACAAACATATTTTATCTCTAGGTTGATCTACTCTTATTAATTGGTCGCAATTCATTTTTCTTATATTTCAACAATTTTAGTGCATTTCTTAAATTTGACTGCTGACATGTTTTTAGGCTGTTAAACTGGTTACTGGAAGAACATCAGTGAGTAGAAAAACTATATATTCACTTGCTTTAAGAAAATTTGGTAAGCAACTTGAAGTGGAAGATGATTCAAGTTAGCAACAGATTCTTCCTGGAGGTAAGCTTGATATTACTGTGTTGGGGCTTCATTCATCCATGCCAACTGCTGTTTGTTATTATTCCCTTAAAACTTAAAGCACTCTGTAATTGACAGAGGCAGGCATCATGTAAAACAGTACAAGTATCTGCTGCTCTATCCTTCAATTAGGATGGACAATAATAGGTTTCCATCAAGAGGAGTAGTTTACCATTTGTTGAACAACTGTTGATCATGTATGGATGGGTTGGTGCACTAGCATTTACATTGCTGCCCTGGCTTCCCATGGTTTGGATCTTGAAAGCAACGCTCGGCAATAGGACAACAAAATTGATTGTACAGACTTGATCATGTAGAAATAGCAGAAGTACCATCGAGATGCGGGTTGTTAAATCCAAAAAGGAAAATTCTAAGATAAGCAAACTCCATCTCCCCCATCTTGTACTTATCCCAAATGTTCTTTCCCCGGCACATGACTTAGGGAGTCAGTCATTAGGTGATATTGCCATGAGAGCAGTTCCTTGATCTCAAATTGTCACATTTGATTTGAGTTAGTATATGTAATATAAATTTTAAAAGAAGAAAATGATATGAAGAGTAGTAGATATACAGAGTACCTCTACTCCACTTCTTGACCAGTTTTCCTTATTTATCGATGAGAATCATATCTTCACATGTCAAGGTTACATAATATACTAAGTAATTTTGTTCAATACTTCCTTTGATATCAAATATATGCAAATAAGTATTCATATTTTTGACGGCCTCAAATATAGTCATATCTAATTACTTTCACTCTATTTAACAATACCGTTCCTAATATACTCTGCAATTAATATATGTTTCTTTCTCACTCTGATGGAACAAATTCTCTTGAATGACACTTTTGATAATACACTTATTTTTGTGTGATTAAGATTAATTTATATTGCTTATACTCAAGACTGAGTGATTTTTATTATAGTTCTTAATAAACTTTTTTTATAACATTATTTACATAATGATAATACACTGCATTAGGCTCTGATGACATCCCCTTGAAGTTTCAGGAAGTGCTGGTATGTCAAAGGCATAATCAAATGCGTAGAGACGGCTTTGTGGGAATATGCATTTCATTCACTTTTAAAAAGTCACTTTAACAACTTAATATACTGTATGAAATTTATACTATGTACAAGGAATTGGATTCAGTAACTAAGTTAAAAGCTGTCTAATTAAAGGGTGAAAATTGTAAACATGCAGAAAAGTGGACCCTGGAAACAGCTGGCGGTAAGTGGACCAGACAACCAAATCAGACGGGCGGTCGGGATCACGGGCACTACACTGAGACATGTCATGTGTAATGTCATCCCCCTTCCTCCCCAAAGACCCCACATTTCTCTTACCTTGGAGTAACAAATTACATAACAATAATCCAATTCCATATCAATAATCTCAGATAGCAACGCCGCAACCACTATTATATACACATGCACCATCTTTTGGAAGGAGAAAAAATAATCTTCTAATAATTCCTAAGCATTATAGTACACTGTTTATTGTTTAAACTCTAATTTCACTGCTAAATAATTATTCACTATCTTCTATACAATTGTTTCCTGATTTTATTTTGTTTGCTGCATTACATGTCATCCTTAGAGATGACGGTGGAAGGTTCAAAATCAAATATTCGCTGCCCTGTTGCTAAGATTCGTTGAGGATCGAATTGCATCTTCATGGCATTGAATTGGGTCCACTTATCTCCAAAGTGGTCCTTCCACTCCTCTACTGTTGTGTAATGGGGCAGGTACTGTTTCACCTTGATCTTCGAGTCATGGCAGAATCTCAGAATCTGACGGTTCTGGTTACTCAGATACTCCAGTGTCTCAGCATCCAAAGCTGATCTCAGAAATGCCACCAGGTAAAACACCTCCTCCTCTGGTGTCACCACCGAGCTCCGATTGTCCCACCTAACACCAAAAACAACCGCTATAATAAGTTTAACCATCACTAAAATCATGTTTTTGATTTTTCTTTTCATACAAGCAACCAATGATGCAAAACGGTAGAAGATGTTAGTTGGATTTACTTACTACGTTGTTATCAATTGTATGACTTGTCAGACCAACGTGGAATCTGCATGTTTTTTTGTTATATGAAAATAAAATCTGTTTAACTTTTAATGACTCAGATAAATTCTGTGATTAAATTATTCTTAATGTTATTTTAATTAATAATATATTTAAATCTCACATCCATTCCTTCAGCTTTTTTAAGTGGCACTTATCTTTCTCAATTGCACTCATCTCTCATCTATTTTGTATAATTACAATTTAACTTTCTAATAAATAAAGGTCGGAAGATATTATGTTTTGAAGGCAATAACCAAATTAATATTTAAATTATTTCAAAACAATAAAATAAAAATAATATAATATTGCATCAGTTGATTGAATGTTAGACACTGTATCAAATAAAATTTAAAGGGTAAGGAAGTTTTAAACTTAACAAAATAGAAACAGTTTGATATCCATGTAAGGATATCTTATGCTATTAAAAAAGTAAGGATATCTAATGGGAAGTACAATTTCTTGTGTATGTTTTTTTTAAGAGCAATGATACCCTTCATATTTATATATTTTGGTGAAATCTCTTATGAACCATATTTTTAATGTGAATTGAATTAATTATTCGTTCAATTAAATTAATTACATAAATTTTAAAATTAACCATATTTTTGATGTGAATTGAATTATTTATTTATTCAATTAAATTACCTACATTTTTATGTGATTAATCTAATATCACATGTAGGGGTGGCAAATGATCACACCCATCTCGAAAAAAACAAGACGAGACGGAACTAACGTAAACACAATTGAGGGAACAAGTGTAAACACAATTGAGGGTTCGAGCTTAAAAATTTTGTCCACCTACATAAAAATGAGACGAAACGAGAAAATCTCGTAGACATTGCACCTCTAAAACCTAAAAATACAAAAATTTAAAATTCATACCTAAAAACAAAGATAGGATGGACGAATAAACAAACACGAGCCTCTTAATTGCGTCGTGTTTAAAAAATATTTGCATGAAACATTTTCCTTTTTTTTAATGAACTATATGGTTTTTTTAATCATAGATTTGGTAGTTTTTAAATAAAAAAAGAGTAACTGATAGATGATTTATCTATTCTATATTATTATTGGTGGTTGGATGTTGAAACGGCGGTGGCAATGGAACTAGGTCATAGTAGAATGACATCCCACCATTCTAGGAGTGGGTCCCTATTGAAGATCTTCTGACAGCAGAATCTTCCCATTTGTATGATCATAGACGATCATTTTTGTCTCCTTCTGCTCACAAATGGAAAGAAAAACACCTCCATCTCCTATTTGAAATGGTGGGGATGTTTAATGTTCTGCATGTTTCATGTTCTTAACCTTAACCATTCTACACCTTGTTATTTTATTAAGAGACTCTAACTAATGACACCCAATAAGAAGCTGTCAGCTATAAATATGTCGCTTACGAAAACGTATTATTCTATATACGACTATGACATGCATGAATATGATTCTTATTAATTTTGTCGAAGTATAAACTTACTTGTTTTTGTTCATAGGGTAGATGAGAATAGGCCCACTTGTCTTATTCCCCAAAATGCCCTTGAACACACCCTTGTCAAAATCTTCTATCCTCGATTTTGGAACAAAAAGATTCAGCCATGGATGTGCTACATCCCATAAACCCTTGTATCTAAGTTTCACTTCTGCCTTATGTACACGATCCAGAAAATCCACATAACCCACGTCCGTTGTGAACACTGATGTTTCTATAAAACTTAACTTTTTCAATAGTGCTTGTATTTCCTCATCAACAGAATCAGCATTTCCTTGGTGGTAGTTTTTGGTTATCTCCAAACAGTACAAAACACCTCCATCGGTATTAATGGAACTGATTTTAACAGGATTACTCGATGAAAAGAATGAGGATCTCCAATTATTAACAAGTCCTTCATCCACTATCACAAAACCTTCTACATAATCGAATCTCTGCCTCGCCGCTTTCCCATGCAGAGATATCAGAAACTCTTGATCCTTACTAAAGGTCGAAAAATTCGAATACAAAACTCGTATCCAACGAACCTGCACGTTTAATATATAAATTCATAATAAAATTTATACAAAGAAACAGCAGACAAACAGACAACAAATTGCGTTTTTGAGAGGTGCATACTCTTTGAGGAGCTGGTTGGAGAGCAATTCTAGCTCTTGTGATGATTCCAAATTGTCCAAGACCACCAAGAACAGCATGGAACAAGTCTGAGTTATGATCTTCTGAACATGTCAACACTTCACCTTTTCCTATTACACACCAATAAGTGAACAATATTAATAATAGAAATGCATGTTATCAGCGCCGTCTCTTAAATTTTTGGAGACTCTCTGTACTATACTAACCTGTAACAACATCGAGTTCAAAAACATTGGAGATTTGAGGACCTTGATTAAAGGTTTGTCCACTAATTCCAGCGTTAGAAAGAGTACCACCCACAGACAAATACAAGTAATCAGTCCAAGACATGGGTGCTAAACCATACTCCAATGTAGCTTTCAACACATGTATCCATAATTCACCACCCCAAACATCCACATACATTTCTCTCTCATACACTCGAGGAAGAAAATTAACCCTACTGCCTCTCCCCATTTCAATCACCACACCTTTCATTCTCGTATCCGCTTGTCCGTTTATCGAGTGTCCGTGCCCTCGCGCGGACACCGCGAACGGCGGCCAATTATACGCCGCTTTAACAACCCTCGCCACATCATTTTCCGACGCTGGTCGAACCACCGCTAATGCTTCTCCTCTACTGCTCAACCTCCCGAAATCCAATGAAACCGCTTCTAACTCCGAAGCTTCCAGTTTCACTTCACCTTCAAGACCTACGTGGAGAATCTCCGTTAAAGTTGGGTCGACCGTTAATCCTACCGTTAGAAATAACCGGCTTATGGCGAATGTTAACAGAATAATAACAAACTTGTTCTTCACTGCCGCCATTGATTCTTGATTTCTTTATACGACTATAATGTATATAATGGAAAACAAAACAACATGCATGTGCGTACCATATCAAAGAGAAAGAAAAATCTCGGAGCAGCTTTTGTGTGGTTTAACGTAAGTAGGATTTCACTTTAAAGATTTTGTACGCAAGCGAATTTGGAGAAAGATGAAAGATTCTTGCTGACTGTGTCTGTGCGTTATCTCTACAATAGGTGCAATATAGTGGATGAATACAAAGAACTGCTAGGGAATGGACGTAGCTATTGAGGGTACTTTTTCTTGTTTACGTTGGATATGAAGGTTGTGTCAGAAAGAAAAGAAAGAAAGAAGGGTTGCGTTGCGGCAAAGAAAGTTAGAAAGTGCGTGTGTGGTGTGGTGTGAGTGTGATGAATGGGAGTATGAGTCATTACTGTGTGTGTGTCTTGGTTTTAAGATGCAAACAAGAACCTCAAGAGGGCTGGCTGAGATGAGACTTTGATTTTGTTAGGAAAGGCACGTGGGAAAAGCCACCAGACACGTGTCTCATTGTGGAATTCTATAGTAAATTCATGTATGTGTCTTATTTAATTTTAATAGTAACATAAAATGAATTTAATTTACTAAAATATATTTATTTTTGATAAAAGAGAGAGCCGAAGAAGAAAGACTAGATTATATCAGAGATTATAAATGTGAACATAAAATGAATCTAACATGCCACGAATATTCTTCACCACAGCTTGACCAACTATACCTTTTATGATTTCTCACAACAGCTGCCATTGAGTCAACATTCAACTCTAATGCATCAAGCCATAAACTTTGAGCATACTTCAAATTTTCAAAAACTCTCCATAGCACAAAAAACAAAAATTTAGAAATTTGGAAAAAACCACTAATCCACTGCATTTATAATCTCTGATAACTCCTCCATACACTCTATTACTTTCCTTACCCACACCATCCGTGTTCAATTTCACCATCCCTTCCTGAGGTGGTTTTCAACCTATCCAACAAACAAAGAGACCTTTGTTCCCTCAACAAATCAATATTTGTTTGCTTCGCAATATAATAATCGTTCAAAATTTGCATAACATATTAGCCTGGATTATGCGGTTTCTGAAAAATCTCATTTATGCAATTCTCTTTTGTGCCACATCCACAAGCAGTGGCACACCGTCGCCTAATAGTCTCTCCATTGTATCCCACTTATTAGAAGTAATTTATATTCAGTAATTTTGTTAAGCTTAATTTAGTTAGTGTAAGTTAATATTTTGTCTACGTAACATTATTGTTTGTATATATAAATCAGTAACACGCGTGGCCATTAGCTATAATCAGTAATCATTTAGTGTAACTGTTTTGTAAGAGTAATAAAAGTTTGTTATTCAATTCTCTCTTTTCTTCCATCTTCATCTTATGCACCAGCAAATGATATCTAGAGTTCCGGTTCAGATTCACAGGAAAACACAAGAAAACACAAGTGAACGATGAGGCGTTGTGTGATTGATTTCGTTTCTTGAATTCGTGTTGAGTTTTTGATCGAAATCGTAACAAAATTACATTTCTTGATTTTGCAGGATTGGAAAAACTAGTGTTTGGTGAGATCTGAGTGTATTGCTATTTGCAGTGAAAATTCACAGAACAAATGCGAGTTTATATTAGTACTTAAGAGATCAAAATCGAAAATCTCTCAGACATATTTGTGTGTCGTTTTTTTAAAATCGAAAATATGGGTGTTCGTCGAAGTCAACACAAACTTCTAGAACGACGCCGTGATAAAGAAACGTGACTGAAATACAAGACAAATGCGAACGAAATGCAAGGTAAAACGAAGTAAAGTGCTTGCGTAGAAAGATAAAGTGCAGTAAGATAACGGGCTGGAAATTAAAAGACTTTTAAAGTAAAGTGCAGAAAAGTAAAGTTTGTTGAAAAGATAAAGGCAGTCGAAAATAGAGTGCGGAAAACGTAAAGGTAGTCGAAAGTAAAAAAGGGTTGAAATGCATAAAAACATGACGTTTTAAGATTAAAATGGTGGAATGTATTAAATTGGTGGAACGCATACATACACTTTTCTCACTCGTTTCTCACAACGCATGTACTTTAAGTGTAGCAGAAATGTGTACAATCTGCGGACCCTTTACAAAATAGAACTAAGTTGCTATATATAAAAGTCTAAAATAACTGTGCAAGACTCAAAACTATCCCCGTGATGACAGGTCTTCAGATCATGTAGTAGTTTTTTCGCTTGATGTGTCCACGTTCTGAGTAACCGTCGACGCATATGCAATAGTTCCCACCTCGCTCATTCTTTTGAATCTTTCAATTGCTTTGTTGGCACTAAGAACTAATAATCCTCGTCGAAACCTCCATCGTCGAATATATTAAAGTAACATGCTTCGATGTGTTGTCCACCATCATAGTGAACTCTACACTTAGCCAATATGACATAGTATTCCATTTCACTATGTGCTACCGTAGCATGATGATTAATTCACTAAGTCCCTATGCTTTTTATTAGACTTTTCAACAACACCACTTTCGACCAGCATCACTATAGGTGATCCCCGACCTTAAGTCATATTAATTACATTGACCCTATTTTTGTCTTCCACTTGGCACATTTATGGCTAGCCTCATGAATATTTGTCATTCATAGTTAAGTCGAAAAATACGGTGTAACAAATTGCGTCGATAAGGCCATGTTTCAATCTGCATCAAACAAGAGAGACATGACCTTTTTTATTGTAATTTTTTGACACCGTTTCACTGTTGCTGACGTCATCGTCATTATTGCCCTTTTTACGTCGCATTGTCACTTCCAATAGATTTACCTAGAATCTCATCATCGATCCTACTTTCTAGGAAGACGTGGGTTTTCACGTTTTTCAGTAACCGCTCCCACTCACCCTTAATGTTTGCATCGAAACCCCATGCAAACTCTTCAGTTTATCCCACGCTGGCGCCAGGTGTCAGATTTCACGCATGCATTTAAGCCTATAAATATCCTTCCTCAGCTCTTTGCTTTCTTTTCTTTCTCTTTGTTTTCTGGCGCATTCTGCCTTTTTCTTCACAGAAACACCAAACCCTATTTCCTCCATTTTAATTTCAGAAAAACTTTCCTTCACACTGTCTAAAGACCGGGTTCATTTCGAGCCCACCACTGGTAACAACCTGTTGGCCTTTGTGATTCCTCCCTCTGAAGACGAAGAGGTTAGGGATTTCATTCTTGAACCCTTATTTGATAATGGAAAAATTGTTATTTGGTAAAAACAAATGTTGAATCCATACTCCATAGAAAATAAACTTTACGCCTTTGCTGGAAATATCCTTCTAAACAATCCCAAGCTCAAGACACCTTTTTCCAGGTCATGTGCTCACAATGCCTTTTGAGCTTGGGACTGTTTAGAAGGATACGACCCAACAAAGAAAAATGCAATGGTTTCTGCATTTGAGCTTGCCTTTTACACATACTAGCATGCATATCAACCAAGGAACTTCTAATTAAATTAACATCAAAGATACGATAAGGGCCAGGGTAACCATCTACCATGTTTACATTGGCACTTCCATGTTTAGGCAATAAATTGGCTTGAACATTGGGTCCAAGATCCTTGAAGGACAGAATACCACTTCGAATTAATTTCTAAACTTCAACCTTTAATGCAAAACAATTCTCGATGTCATGGCCAGGTGCCCCTTGATGATAGGTACATAAATGATCAAATTTATACCACCAAGGAAGCTCTTTTGGAACAACCGGTGAATCTCTAGTATGTACAAGATTCTTTTGTACTAGAGCATGGTACAGTTTAACATACTGTTGCACCCTGAAATTTGCCCAACCTTATTCACTTGGTTTATGTTTCAATATCATTAGCATTTGCATATAGAGTCATGTACATAGTCTAACCATCTGCATAGCATAAGCATATCAAGTCATCCAACAGGGGACCAATCATTATTCTCATCTCTAGAGGCTTATCAAGAGGTCATTATCCAAATTCAATCTCATTCAAGTCATCAGAAAGAATTTGAAAGCAGAGAAGTCAATGGATCAAGCAGGGCATCTAGCTCCTATCTGAGGGTATCTGAGGATCAACAAAGAAATTGTGAGCTGGGGCTGAGCATGGAGAGTATGTGGGCATCATGGGAGACTTAGAAAGTCATTTGGAGAAAGAGATAAGTCATTGGTGTAGTCACAAGAATTTCAGTTGAGGACAGTCAACTAGGGTTTCATCTGGGTCAACCCTAGGTCAACTCTAGGTCAATTGACTGATTGAAAGGCATTAAAGGCTATTGGAGAGATGTGGGGTTCATCATTTGACATGAAGAATAAGGATATGATGATATGCTAAGAATAATTCAAGAGAAATCAAGGAGAAGAGGAGTTTCTAAATTAGGGTTTCTGTGTAAAATCCCCTAGTTTAGGTCAAATTTCCAAGCAAGATAAGTCAAAATGCAAGCTTCAAATGGATCCTTGTCCAACATGAAAACTTGTAGAGGATCTCAAGACCTTTAATTTGAGTGGTGGAAGACATCAAGGAGATTTATAGAACTCAAGTTATGGTCCTTGCAAGTTACAGGTCATCTGAGGTATCTGAAATTTTGTCTGTGAAAGTGACTTGACTTCCAAGCTATTTTTACCCCTCAAGGAGATTTCAAATGAATTTCTGGTCAACATAAGAATTGTTCCTCATTGTCTTAGCTTTCTATAATGGTATAGTATTCCTTCATATGATTTGTGGAACTCTACTTATGGTCTTGGCAAGCAAAGGGTATTTTGGTCATCTGGTGATTACAGGTCATTCTTAGCCTATGCCTAAAACTCATGCAAGGGAGCTTCAAATGAAAAACTTCCCAACATCAAAGTTGCTCAAAATGCCATTTTAAATCAAGAAAAGAAGTCATAGAAGTTTGGAAATGCATAGAATGAGACTTGACCAAAGTTGGTGAAAAATGGCCTAAAAAAGGCATATAACTTGAAAAAGTTCAAGTTGGAAAATGGTTTGAGAGAT